CCAGTCCTTCACTGGGCTTCAAAGACATTCCAGCTAGCCGTAAAACAGACAACACATTTAAAACCCACTTTTTCATATAAATGAAATAGTGGGTTTTAAATGTGTTGTCTGTTTTACGGCTAGCTGGAATGTCTTTGAAGCCCAGTGAAGGACTGGTTTATGGTTTTTACGATTCTCTCCGATTGAGAAGCCAACAGATACCCGGGCACCAGCTAATTTGGAATTTATAACCATGAAGCTGTCCCACTGGGCCTGATTGCCTGAGCACTTTTGAACCCAGCACACAGGAACCACGTGTCACTCAACAGAGAGGGATGGGGGATCGGAGGGAGAGAGATACAAGATGGATGACAGCGTCCATCTCTGTGTTCACAATTGCTACATAGCGGTTTCAATTTTCTTTTCCAGCATGTACTGTTTAAAATATTATGGAAATTAGCATTTTCTCTTAGACCCAGCAGCAGAAACAGGAGTCTATTTGCTTATGTGTGGAGGGGATACAAGGGAGGAGATTTAATAAAATTGGAGCATTCAGAATCTGGTGCAGCTGTACATGGTAGCCAATCAGCTTTTAACTTCAGCTTATTCAGTTAAGCTTTAGTGACAAAACCTAGAAGCTGGTTTCTATGTAGAGCTTCACCAGATTTTGCACTCTCCAGCTTTAGTAAACAGCCCCCAGAGTATCCACTGCTCATAGTGTATATCTGATCAAGAGTAGACTTTCCAAATTAACACAGGCAATGACTGCACAATGATGACAAAACATCTGTAAATGAATTTGCACCTTTAGGGCAGGTATATGGGCAACTTGAATTTAAAAAAAAAAAAAAACTTTGCTGAGAAATGCTGTCATTGCTGACCTTCTTAAAATGCAAGTTTGAAGGCTGCCCCTGTTTTCAATACTTTGAGATCTTGACCTGGCATAAGCATGCAGATCAGGAAAGTCAGAACACCTAGATTAGGAACAGGCAAACTTGGCACTTCAGCTGTATTGAACTACAAGCTCCATAGGGTATTGCAGGACTCTGACAGCCACAGTCAAGGCTCTAAAAGCAGAGGCATGATGGGATTTGTAGTTTCACCACAGCTGGGTGCGAAGTTGCTTACTCCTGATTGAGATGGCTATACTAGAGTTTTGAGTCAGCATGGCAGCCTTCATACTTACAGTACAGACTTCCTTTAAAATCCAGTTCTAGCCAAAGCTTTTTCCTATTAACATTTCTTCTTGTAAAAAAATCTTGTTAGGAAAATTTTTCCTTACTTTCTATATGAAAGGTGTTGGACAACAGGAAGGGAGGGCAAAACGCAGACATTATTTAACTGCTTTCCACCCAGCCTATAGCAGATTGACAGCCGAGCGGGAACTCTCCCTTCCTGCGTGGACGTCATATGATGTACTCCCAGTCACATGCTGTGGTTTGATTTGTCAGCCACTCTGTCCACCGGGGTCATTTGAGGGGTATTTACTGCCTTGGCATTTTAGGGCATCAAGAAATGAGACAAGCCGTCCGTCCGTACAGCAGGATTGATCAATTTTTAAATATACTGTATATACCATAATTTGTAGACTATTTCGCACAGACTAAATAATATACACTAATTTGGGTTATTTTTATCAAATGTAGCAGAAAACATTAAAATTTAGAATACATATAGTAAAACATTTAATACCCAGTGGTGATTAAATACCACCAAAAGAAAGCCTCAAATGTCTCAAAAAAATGCTAGAAATTTCATTTGGGTACAGTGTTGCATGACTGAATAATTGTCATTCAAATCTGACAATTGGCCTGGGCAGGAAGGGGATAAAAGCGTTTGGTATTGAGGTGAATAAAGTGACCCTTACGTTCCTGTTGCTATCCCTTTGATACTTTTGTGGAAATATTAGTCAAGAAGAATGTGAACTGAATGGTTTAGTCCAACAAAAGTGGGCTATGACCATCGTCACCCCATCAGTAGTTATTCTACCAAAAGCTAAATCTAGGAGGGCAGAAACCAAGAGTGTCAAGGCAAGGTGCCGAAAGTTTTTAAAATTTGTTGGGACATCCACTATATTGGTAAAGAAGGCTTTCCTTCATAAGCATTTCTCCTATATTTCCTATCCACTGTTTAACGGTGGGGGGTGCCTCCGACTTCCAACGAAGTTGAATATGTTTGTGAGCTTGCAATAGTGCCCTAGAAAGAGTTTTAGTCAACTCTTGCACAGAAAGGGATTCTAAAATACCCGATATACATTGCTTAGGCTCTATCTGAGCAGTAGCGTGGAACACTTTAAAAGGTGTCTACCACCCCTGCCCAATACATGTGTAATTTGGGGCAGATCCAGAGTAAATGCATTAGGTTCCCCTGATCCCTGCAACATCTGCCACATTTTGAATCATCCGGTGCCTCATTTTAAATAGTTCTGCAAAATTATAGTGGGACCGCAGGATTATGTACAACAAGGAAAGTCTATGCATAACATTGAGATACCATTGCTTAACAGCTTGTAAGGCCACCTCCCACTGGTCCCCCTCCAAAGATCCCACATCTTTCTCCCAATGCTTCACCGCATTAGATGGGAAATCTTTTAGAAAACCAATTGGGCATAAAATGGTGGACAGCACCGTGGCTAAATGGTTAGCACTTCCGCTTGGCAGTACTAGGGTCGTTGGTTTGAATCCCAACCGCGGAACCACCTGCCTGGAGTTTTTCTGTTCTCCCTGTGCTTGCGTGGGTTTCCTCTGGTTTCCTCCCACACTCCGAAGACATGCTGGTAGGTTAATTGGATCCTGTTTAAATTGGCCCTAGTATGTGTATGCATGAATGTATGCATTAGGGACCTTAGATTGTATGCCCCTTGAAGGTTAGAGACTGATGTGAATGTGCAATATATATGTAAAGTGTTGCGTAAACTGATGGCGCTATATAAGTACTATAATAAATTAAAAATAAGCAAAATGGGAAATAAAGCCTTGGAAGGTTTCAGTATTGCACATGAAATAAAAAAAAAAAAAATCTAGATAGAAAATTGCATCCAGTCAGTCGATCAGCCCTGAGCCTGTACAGCATGCTGGGGTTGCAAATATAGGAAATACATATGCTCAAGGATAGAGAATTTGGAACATAGTTTTGAAAAAGAGCCGTGAGCCACCAGAAAATATATGGACGCAAGTTCACGACTCCATAGGTCATCCATTTAGCTCCATATGATAATTTAGCCACTTCCATATATGTATTATTGCACCAGATAGGACTGTAGGAGATGCAGCCCGATACCTGTTGAGGCTGTTTAGCTTTATTCCATATCTTCTGTAACAGGACGCAAGTTGGAAATGACTTATTGGATTTGCTAAACAACAGAGATTCCAGAAATATCAATCTTTTGTATAATACAGAACAGTTCTACTGGTAGAATCAGTACAGGGCATATCAGGATTAAAGGATTGAGTCAGGCCTCTAGCCACAAGCTGTAGCTGAGCGGCCAATACTGCCACAGGTTAGGTAGGTCTACCCCAGATTAGGCATTTCTAAATGCATATAATTGCACGTAATGATTTTTCAATTATGCTAATAGGTGTAGTCAGTTTAGCTGTATTTGTTCAAAATAGAAATCTGTGCGTCTAGGATCCACTTAGACACTTTAAAACATGAGTAAACACATCTAAAACACAGTTAAACATACTAAATCAGGAACATCTAGATACAAGAAAATGTGATCTAGAAACAATGCACGTTATTTTTATTTCCCAGATTACTTCTGCTTTTGAAAAGCTAAATGCAGGAGAATCAGTGTGAATGAAGCCTAATGCTTCATTCACACTGGCACTCCTGTGTTGCTAGTAAAGCATCCTGCTGGCCTTTCTTGCTAGTTATAATCTGCCTGCATTACATAGAGAAGCACAAAGACCTAGTGAAGGCATCGCTGAGTTTAAAATAAGGTTTGTAATGAAAATAGAAAGGCTTTATTTAAAATTCTAATTAGCATGTTTATGAGGTTGGAAGGTGGAACTAGGGGAAGACAAATATACACAAATTAAACTTAAGATTTAAAACTTCAAGTTTTGGCTAGAATTGGCATATTTTTTTAAGAAATCAACTTTCCACAACACGATATAGATTTACTGGTGATTTTTTTTTTCTTGATTTGAGCTTTCCTTTAACCAGCATACTCTGCCACTAGCCAAGAGCATTTACCGCAAGCAAGATGCAACGCTAACCTGTAAATTCAATGCCACGTCTGTAAGCCTACTCATTTAATTTTCCATTTAAAAAACAAAAATGTTATTACCATTGTAAAAATCCACACTATTCATGAGCCCTAGACTAAGCTAACAAACAAACATTATTGGCGCTACATTTGTAACTTTAGCATTAACATGACATGAACGTTTTCTATTCTGTATGCTTGAAGTCTTAAACAGCTTTATAAGGCAGCAACATAATTCAATATGGAATCTGAGCATTTTTTAGCTGTTTTGCTAAACTGATGTTAGCGTACTACAGCTGTCAATGAGATTGGGGCATGAATCAGCATCAGAGGAAAAAAAAATTACAAAGAATATCATGTGCTAGAGCTAGATCTATTCCCTCCAATAATCAAACAGTACACAATTAAAACCAGTATTTCAAATAAAAGCATACAAGAAAATCTTAGGTTCTTTCTGTCCTTAACAAAAACAACTATCTGGGTCCATAAAACAGCTATTACGTTGCCTTAAATAACAAACACCCCCCCAAAAAACCTCCAAGAACATTGGTGTGCTGTACTTAGAAGGATGAAGATTAGGTCGTCAGTTCCTAATCAAATATCTCCAAACCAAATTTGCTCACAACAGTAACTTCACTGATCACTGGTATACACAAATCTGGATTTCAGCAAACCCTTGAGAAGTTCATGATAAGTACACGATAAGTATACGTACCAGGGTTACAGTCTGTCAGAAGGGAACAAATAGATAGCAAAACTTTTGATATAGTCAGTGCTGGACTCCAGTTGTCCTTCAGAATATCCAAGCAGATTACTCCTTGGCTGTTGATATTACAGTGATAGATTCTGGTGCGGAACGTAACCTGGAAAAAAAAAGTGTGTTACTGTTGAGCATATAGTTCAAAAGGAATTTCAACTTTGTAAAATCTGGAATATTGTGAAATTTGGAATTGGAACATTATCAAATTGGGCTCAGGGTTATTCAGTCCCCAACAAGTCTCCATGATGTGACTAACTTTTGGTGCATATTCTGGGCCATATTTATATGCCAGAAGTAATACAACTGCCATTAAAAGCTCAAAAGTCACAACACTGGCCAATGAGTTCCTATTTTTAGGTGCAAGTTATGTTTTTGTGCCCAAGCAGCATGCTGTCACTTCAAATGGGTTCATTTTACTCCATATGTTTTAATAATGAATAGGAGAGGAACAGCAGGGCACCCATGGCTTGCTTCCAAACACTTTACCGAAGCATATTTTTCCCACTATATCAAAGTTCAGGCTACTGTCCTTTCATATGGATAACTACAGTATGCTGTCTTACGGTCTGAAATTTGGGTGTATTTCAGGAGGTTTAATCACACCACCACTATCAGTCCTCTTCGAGACAAACTGCATATAGGGTGTGTTGTAGGCACTTCCAAGCTTGGTAAATGCATTATATGTGGGTAAATCTCTTGTGAGCAGCCTGAAGTAATTACAATAGAAAAAAAAAACATTTTGACATGGCGCACAAACAAAATTACAATTCTGCAAAAGCTGAGAGCAAGATTAGCAATCTTTTTGAGGCTGGGGACATCTTTTAGCCATGAAATCTATGCCACAGTCTTTGGCAAGTCTTAAGTCCGCCATAGTTATCTCAATAATTGAAAAAACAATTTGAACCAACCACTCTGAGCACTGCAATCATCATTCTGTTTTGATGTTAAAGCACCTAAAGATCATGTACTTTTTTGTACAACAGAAGGCTGCAGGATGATCAAGTGTGAACAGGCACCACTTAATAGAATAGGAATCTTGAGTGTTGTCACACTTTGGGTAAACCAAAACATACACCCTGGTGTGAATGGGGTCCTGAAAATCAGGAGTAATAAAAATGTCAAATGCACAACTTTTTTGACATTCCAAATAATACTCACTGAGCAATTGTCCCCCTTCCCTCTATAGTAAAGGGAACAGTTCCACACAGTGTTTTATATCCACAAATCAGCCAGACTGGTGGCAAGTTTTTAGTAATGCACAATTTTAACCAAGATAGGTAGACAACTTTTTCTTAAAGAGATACATTAACCTTAATGTCCTACTAAAGTCATTTTTAAAATTAAAATAAAAACAAACATGTTCTACTCACCTGCTCTGTGCAGTGGTAGTGCACAGAGCGGACCCAATCTTCCTCTTCTCAGGTCCCTGCTGGAGATCTTGGCTCCTCTTCTTTGTGTGTCCCCATAGCAAGCCATTTGCTATGGTGGCACACAATGTCTCCGCGCTCCTGAGCTGTGTGTCCCGTGCCACAGACTTACAGAGAGGGACTTAATCAAATGCAGTGAGGAGAAAGTGGGGGCAGGGCTGAGAGCAGTAGGAGCCATTGGCTCCTGCTGCTGCTCAAGTTCTGTGTGAGGAGGAAAAGAGGGGAGAAGGGATGCAGCTGTGCACAGCACTGGATCTAATCTCTCCTCTCTTCCCCTTCACACAGGGAAGTGGGGGTGTCAGAGAAATAGGGACTGTTTTTTACCTTAATGCAAGAAATGCATTAATTTAAAGAAACGTTTTCAGCTTTAGTATTTTAAATTGGAGTTTCAGTGTGTCCTACAAGCAGCAGCTAAATCCTTCCCATAAGAAGCAAAGAGAACAGGCACATTTAAATAACAGCAACTTGGAACACATTACGACCCCAAATATGGCTGTACAAATACGTTTTCATTCTAACTCTAAATTGCATTAAGTGTCATATTATTTCTAGCTGTTCTAGATTTAAAAATACTAAAGTCTTATCCCATGCTTCTAGATTTGTCTCCCACAGCCAGTTTTAGTATTGCTGGCAATATGAATTCCAGTGTTACTGATCCAAGACACGGGGCTGTTATTATGGAGATTTTCATAGTTCCTTAAAACCTTTGGCTTTTTGCTTTTAAATTTACAGCTGAAAATATGCTGGCTTAGTTAAACGGGAAAATTGGAGGAATGAAAAGGCACAGCCTTCTGTTGGAAGCATACAAAATAAACTTTGTATTAACCAAGTTTTTTCATTGGATGAAGAATGTTGCCTATGAGTTATGAGTTAAAGTGTTACTAAACCCAGGACCTTGTATTCACTATGAGGTCTCCCACAGTACACACTACATGGAAATGTAATTATTTTAGTAAATATAAACTGATAAACACCTTTTCTCATGATCAGTTAGAGCAGTCTTGTGACTTCTATCAGTGTTCAGAAAAGCATCAGTTAAAGTTTATAGGAGTTTGCTTTCTGCTGTAAGAGGATGCAGAACCCCTGACCTCTGTCTGGTCAGTGCTGATTGGCTCTGTTCTGACCACATGCACTCTCCTAAGGAAAAAAACCTCTCTAGCAATACACACTAAAATGAGCATGTGCAGAGCATGTGTCTCCATACATGTGTCTTATCAGGAGATAAAATGGGGGCACTGGAAGGGGAGGATCAGAGAAGTCAGGATCAAACAGCATTTTTACATAATGCAGAGGACTAACCCCTTAGGTTCCACAGAGTATAACAAGCATGCTTTACTGCATACACAGACTGGTTTTACTGTTGTGGGTTTAGTAACACTTAAGGTAATAATTTACTATATTCGTATTTCAGAAGGCTGCTAGAGTAGAAGAATGCTTTAAGAGATAAGATCACTTTACACAGAGACTACAAGACAGCAAGATAAACATTGATCAAATAATAATGCAGCATTCAGGATTTACCTTTGGTGGCTTAAAAGGATAATCAGAAGAAAACGTGATATCCAAAAAAAATACTCCTCCCTCATATACAGATCCTGGGGGTCCGAGAATCGTTGACCTCCATTCATATATGTTGTCTCCCTTAGGACCAGCACTGTAAAAAGGACAAAAAATAGAATGTTAAGATTTTTTCCACATTCATCAAAATATACTAATCATATATATATATAAAAGCATTTTGGAGACAAATATTTAAAGAGGACCTGTACTCAACATCTGGCTCATTTCCATCTGTGCCATAAAGGGGATTAGTGTTCAGGCAGAGGCAGTGATCAGTTATCACTGCTGGAAGGTCTATCTAGCAAGCGCAGTAATAATCCTGTGTCATTACTTAAGCCCAAAACAGCGTTTTCTGCAGAAAAGGTATTACACACAGCCTCTTTTACTGTTTATGAATACAGTAGAGCTGGACTGTCATGATAGTTGGCTGGTATTATTGGAGTACAAGGTTTTCCTTAAAATACATTACATTTTATTCAGAAAGCGGACAACGGTTAAAGCTATTGGTATAAATACGAATGGCCTTGTAAGGTGGAAAACACATTTCTTGTTAACCGTTTTCATAGAAGCATTTGCCAGTTCTAAGGTACTGAACTGCAAATGAGCAGTAGCTTTAGATTTTAAAATAAAGCTCGGTACACATTATAAGAAAATTAGGCAAACGATCGCCCGGTTTTCCTCGATGTTTCACAGCAAGTCAAACCACAGGATGGTACCAATTGTATTAAAATTCTTGAACAACAAAGGTGTTTTTTTCCCCCCACATAGAAACGTTGTAGCGCATATTGTTTTTTATTGTTTCTGACCATGTGCAGTCTTTCGTACCCGATATTTTTTTGCACGAAAATCATTAGTTCTGTTCATGTACGAGAGAGTTTGGGGTTTGTTCCTTCACAAATTTTAATTTGGAAAATCTGGATGTCGAAAGTTGTGTGCATACTATACAAAAATTGAAAGATCCTTTCTCATACGGAATTTTTTTTCCAATTTTCTTATAGCATGTACCCCACATATAAATGTGAAATTTGGAAGTTATGCACCAGCTGTAGTTATTTTTTTGTCACAATGTTCTACATCTGCTTAGGTTTGTTATACCTGTAATGCCCTGGAAGAACCCACAGAAGGTCAAGACTCCAGCCTTACAGCTAAACACACACCAAACATGGGTTTTAGTGCCAAAGATTTGTACACCAACACACCTACATTTATGATCTGTCCCACTCCTGCCATGCTATAAGTAATAAGTAGACAGAATACCCTTTTGAGCCTGTAGTTCTACAAAATCCATGCTACTTTTCCACCTCCAATCTGAATAATAATGTTTCCAACTGCAAGTAATGGACAACTCTTATCCTCCTCTATGGACTCATCTGCATCTCAGTTTACCTTAAAGCCCAACTTCAGGAACATTTAAACATCCTTGCAGTGAAGCCCGCTCCACTGCCAGGGTTAACAGCTTGGTATGCCAAAGGAGTTTCACAAGTGGCACTATCACTTACCCCTCTTCCTGCTTCAACATGTTCCCATCCTCTGCCCTCAGCTCCAGTCTGGGGGCAGAGCCTTCGTGTTATGTATAATACAGGACATCGACCCTGTATGGTACACTGAGGAGGCTGAAGCCGGTTGCAGCTTACAGATCAGCTGCAGGGGACCAGTTGCTTCGCCGGAGGGAGACTGCTGAAGCGAGAAGTAAGGTAAATATTTACTTCCTAATCATCTGCCCCTAACCTAAACAATCAATTAACCCTTACAGTGCAGAGGACCCCACTGTAAGGTTGGATTTTTAAAAATTTTCCTAGCACTGGCATTTAACGTGTCTAATGCATACCTCATTTGAATGGAATTTGCCAAGATGACATATGGAAGCTGCCATAGCAAGGCAGGTAAATCTGGTCTTCTCTTTACAACCTAATAAGCAACTTGTGTAATCAAGCACCTATCCCGAAAGTGTTAGGACACCTAAACTTAATATTTGTTTTAGAGCATCTTGTCAAACTTGTTCTAGGTTAAGGATCCAACTAAACCATCCAGACATGATCAAAACATGACTTCAAGTGTAACCACTTGAGACTTTAGAGCTATCACGATTTGTGGTTTCTTTTTTTAAAGCTGGTCACTCCCTGGTATTCAGTTGTGGAAGATGGAAACACAGGATGGTCCATTTTCAGTGTGGCTACACTGCCTTGAACCCCTCCCATAGTCACCTTTACAAGTCTGCACCTATTTGCTGGCTCCATAGCTAAAAAAACACAGGCAGCTCTGCAACCCAAGACTGCAAGCCAACCCACCCAATTACTTTGCCAGGAGCCCCCAAGACCAATAATTTAGAATTGTAGCCCTGACATTGGAGGTCATATGACATGACTAGTGCATACAGTGTGCGCTCCCAAACCGGACGTTCAGGGATGCTGCACTGGCAGACAAAGAGCAGGCAGTTTTTACAGCCTCTAAATGTAAGTGACTGTGAATATATTTTGAACAAATCAATTTAGTCTAAGTTTCCCTAATTGCCACAAAGAAATTCCTGTAAATAAAGAGGAGGGTTTAGTGGACAATGTCTGAATTAGAGCAATGGTCAGTGTTACAGGTTGCAAGAGAGGTAACCGTTTACTTTTTCTTTGCAAGGAACTTTTGCTTTAAAGGATCACCTTTCATAACATGTTACATGTTCCAACCTTATTCAGGGTGTAAAATGTTACGAGCGGAGTGGTGCAATGCTTTAGAGGCTCCAGAAACAAAAGATAATAAATGCAGTTTTTTTACCTGCAAAAAATGGGCATTTATTATTTTTTGTAAAAAGGTGAACTTCTCTTTTAACAAATAGCAATTAAAACATTAAAAAATATATTAAAAAAAATTAAAGTAGAAGAAGGGAAGACCAGAACCTCCACTAAATTGTATTTTATTGATCTCTGGTGCCTTCATTGAAGATTTCTTCTTCCTGCCACAGTGACAATGCGGTCACCAGTATAGGAGGTGAGGGAATACCTCCACAACAAGACACAGACAATTTAAAAACATACTCAAATTAGTTAAGATATATTGAGACTACAATAGCATCCACCCCTCATTTTTGTATGGTACCATTCACTTCACATTTTATGCAATTTACTCCACCACCTATTTTCCACATGTACCATTTTTATCCTTCAAAGGAAAAAATGTAAAAAATAAATTCTAGTGTAATTAATAAAAATGTAACTTGTCTAACGCAATGAAAGACGGTGGTTATATAGACAGACCGCACAGCCCTACACTCTTGTAAGGCCTCAATCACAACTCTTCAACACCAACAACCATCAAACAATGCCATCTAAAGCTTTATTTAATAAAGTACTTGAAAACTGCAACAACAGAATCATTTTCCTCAATTACACAAAAATAGCAGCAAAGTCTCAGACTTTAGATTTCCATTAAATCAAAGCATATCCTGTCATTTCATCTAGATCTTATTTGGAAGTTTATTTCATGTCCAGCTTTACCTGCAGTCAGCCTTTGAAGGTGGTATCTATATGCTCACTGGAGATGAAAACGATTTGATGATATGCAGCCTATTTAGACTCATTTGATTATCTGAACAGTTTCAGATTAATACTGCTAACAGTGTCTGATTTTAACAGCTGCAAAAAATCTTCAGTCAAATATAAACAGCCTTCATTTAGTGAACATTTATTCAATGAGAAATGGTAAACCTATATTAAAGGAAACAGGTGAGAAAAAAATTATGGGAGCTACCACTGCTGGCTTGAGGTTAAAATTGAAGGCTGCTGTTACGGTTTCTCTATCTAGTGAGACATTGTCCTGGAACAACCATGCTGCCAGTGAAATTTGAAAAGTCTTAACTCCCGTACTTCCTACTGGCTTCTGGTCAGAGATTATCTACCTAAAATCCAGGATCAGGATGACAATATAGGACCATGCACCTTTAAAAAGAGAATTCCACCTTTTGCAAAAATAAAAGGCACCCATATTAACAAAAGAAAAAATGCTCATTTATTATTTTTTTGCACTGTAGTCTGCAAAGCCATGTAACTGGTCAGTGGATTGGATGGTTGCTCTGGCTTTTGCAGACTTTTACTCCTTCCTTGGCACGGACCTTCAGTTACAAAGCTGGCCACATTCAGTGGCATCCCTGGTGGCCCATGTCCCTTACCTTTTCTTTGTTCTATCGCTGCAGCTTCAGTCACTTTAGCATTTGACACTTTGAAGGGGTGTCAGATGTGTATTCCTCATCATGCACTGTGGTTTCAGCCTCTGCTACCCACATCACTGCACAGCAAGGTAAACGGGATCTGACATTCCTGGAAGTGCTGACTGCTGAAGAGACTTATAGAGTCTGCAGCACTGCGATTATTATACAGGATTTATATAGCACCAGCAGTTTGCTCAGCGCTTTAAAATATAACGGGTGACAATACAGCAACAATACAGTTCAATACAAGAGGGTTAGGAGGGCCCTGTACCTTGGAGCTTACAATCTAAGAGATGGAGAGAAGGTAAGAGATATGGTACATCGGGGAGGCGAGCAGTCTACCTGTTCTGCTGCAAGAACTGATGTTTTATTTTTTTTTTTTTTTTTTTTTTTAGAGAACACACAAGATCTATTTAAAAGGTATACTATATTTTCACAAAAGAATACTTTTATATAGCTTTGACGTTATATGTGATTGCATTATTTTTTTTCTTACAAAAATATAGTTCTTCCCTCACTTTTCTTAGGTTTTTTATTCCTGTGCTGAGCACATCCTGTAGACTTTTCCTGTAAACTTCCTGTGGATATGAAGGCTCTCCAGCAGTGCCTGAACATCACAGATTCCAGAGGTGACTAGTTCAGAATCTTCCAGTGCACTGTACTCTAGCACAGCTGCTTGTAGTCCCTCTAAGGACTGTGCAGGAAATGGCAACAATGATGCAGATGAACCAAGTAACTAAACACTTGACTTAAAGTGAAACTATAGGGGATAGGGCAAGGGAGGGTTATAACCGGTCTGATTTTTTTTTCACTATAAGTGTCCCATTGTGGAGATTTTCCTTCACTTCCTGTCCCATAACAAAACAGGAAGTGAGA